GTGAACAACCTTAAATGGTTCTCCAAAAGCTTTATGGGTTTATATAATTCCGATGTTTATAGATTTTTATTAGTTATAAAACAAAAAATTACACAAAAGAATTTTTTTTATAGACAAACAGAATAATTCATTGTATATAGTCCACCATAGTAGTTAATAAATGTTTTTCTTGGGGTGCCTTTTAGGCTGAGATGGTTTATAAATCAGACCCATGGAACTTGAACCAATTAGTATTGGCGTAAGAAAGAAAAGCGTTTGCTAGTGTGAGCTTTTTTTTATTTACATTCTTTACTAATTATTGACTATGCAAAGTAATAATTATATGGAGCAGTTAAGTGAGCAAAGATATAAAAGCAATATTGCAGGTTATTAATACTTATTCTCTACCAAATTCTAAAAAAATATATGTAAATGGTAAAAGTTTCCCAAGCATGCACTTTTCTATGCGAGAAATTTCTTTAATAGATCGAACTTTCTTTATCCAGAAATATTAGGAGATTGTCAGATGATATGTATAAAGTTTAATAGTAAGAAAAGGTCAATACCAACAAACACTATTCTTAGAGATTTCTTGGTCGAAAGTGAAGAGAGGGTAACCATGTCTTTTGCCGTTGCTATTAATAGAGAGTTTATTCCCCAAGCACATTGCGACAATACTATTCTTGGAAAGAATGACGAGTTGGAGCTAGTTACACCTACGCAGGGAGGTTAAAATATGGAATGTAAAATAGGAGATCAAATTCTAAGGAGTAGGTTGACAGCATTATATCCACCCCCTCTATTATGAAAGAGTCTATAAAAGCTTATGAGTGCCAAATTATAACTGTTTCCTTCGAAGATTTACCCTGGATTACTGAATCAACGCAGGAGGGAATTAATCAACCTAGCTTCCCTCAACATGACATAGGAACATTAGCTTTTTACCCAATAATTAGTTCTAATTATTGGTTTGAAAAACTTTTTGCCAGGGGTATTAAAACTACCCAACTACGTATTAAGGATCTTCAAAAAGAAGACCTTAAAGAAGAAATAAGAACAGTAATTAAGATTACTGAGAAATATAAAGCTAAGCTATTTATTAATGATTACCAGGAATTGGCGATGCAACATAATGCATATGATATACACTTGAGACAAGAAGATCTAGCGAATACTGATTCTAAAGCTATCGTACAAACTAACATCAGGTTAGAAATAAGCACTCATGGCTATTATGAATTAGCGAGATCTTATGCTCTAAGACCTTCTTGTATCTCTTTTGGCCCAATTTCTCCAACTACTTCTAAGCAAATGCCTTTTACTCTACAAGGGATTTTTAATTTGCAGCATTGGCGTAAACTATTAAAATATCCGTTGGTTGCTGTTGGACGAGTTTCTATCGATAAGTTACCGCCCATATTGGCAGGCTGGGTAGGTGGAATTACTGTTATTTCTGCTGTATTAAGCGATCTAGATCCAGAGCAAGTTGCTTTAAAATTTTTAAAAGCTTGTAAACAAGCATTTTTATTAAGACGAAAACAAGGTGATTATGATCGATTATAACCAACTTTCAAGCAAAGAATTACAAAGATATAAACGGCATCATCTGTCGTTTTTGAAAAAACTTGGTTTTTCTAATGTAAGAAGCATATTTGATGGTGCACAAGAATGGATTAAAACCAATTATAAGAAAATTTGATAAATGTATGAATAGAATTCGGAAGATATTATGATCCAGTATAAAGAATATAAATGCCCATATAAGCTCATGTTGATTACTCAGCTTTACAATGCCAATATTGATTCATATCTTGAATTTATTAAGAAGTGTGCAAAAGGTGGAATAACTTCACTACAATTGCGTGAAAAAGATGCTTCTTCAGAATTTTTATTTGAATTTGGGTGTAGATTAAAGTCGATTTTGGCGCCTTTTAATATTCCACTTATAGTTAATGATGATGTTGAGCTTGCATATAGGCTTGATGCAGATGGAGTGCATCTTGGTCATACCGATGACAATCCAGAAAAGGCACGAAAGCTACTAGGCTCAAGCAAAATAATTGGTCTTTCAATTGAGTCGCTGGATGAGTTAGAGAAAATAAATGATCTAGATATAGAAGTAACATATGTTGCTGCAAGTGCAGTATTTACAACTCAAACTAAAAGTAATATAAAAACCTTATGGGGAATAGACGGTTTAAAGAAAATAGTTGCATTGTCAAAATATCCAGTAGTTGCAGTTGGTGGCATCAATCATAAAAATATAGCGCAGGTTATTAAAACTGGTCTATCTGGAGTTGCAGTTATTAGTGCAATTCATGAAGCAAGTGATCCACGGGAAGAAGTGCGACAACTACGTAACATTATCAAAGGAGCCTAAAGATATGCTAGAGCATATAAAATTGTGTGTTGAAAAAATCCAAAAATTGAAACCCTTGGTCTTAAACCTTACTAATTATGTAACTATGGACTTTGTTGCAAATGCATTATTAGCAATAGGAGCTGCTCCTATCATGTCTGAAGAAAAGAATGAGCTAGAGGAGTTTATTTCTATTTCAAATTCTATCAATATTAATATTGGAACACTTAATGATGCTTTCGTAGAAAATACAAGACGTGCATTAATAATTGCTAAAAATTTTAAAAAGCCTATAGTGCTTGACCCAGTAGGTTGTGGGGCAACAAAAATAAGAACAGAAGTAAGTAGAGAATTTATTCGACATGTTAATGTTGTTTGTGGTAATGCAAGTGAGATAATATCGCTTTATGATGATAATAAAACTAAAACTCTTGGCGTTGAGTCACAAAATACTACTCAAGAAGCAGAAAGTAGCGTCAACTCTTTGGTTGAGAAGCATGATATAACAATTATAGTTAGTGGTGCAACAGATATTATAGCAAGAAAAGGCTACACAAGGCATTTATCCTTTGGTTCAAAGCTTATGGAGTGTATTACAGGCATGGGTTGTGCGTTTTCTTCTATTACTGCAGCTTTTTGTGCCGTAGAAGCTGACTCATTTCAAGCAAGCTTATTATCCTCTGCATTCTATAGCTTATGTGGCGAACAAGCAGTACAAAAAGCTTCTTGTCCTGGATCTTTTAAAGTTGCATTTCTTAATGCTTTATACAATCCCGATTTTGATTTTATGAGAGGAAAATTATGAAGTACAAAGCTCTCTCAATTGCTGGTTTTGATGGGTCAGGTGGTGCTGGTATTCAAGCAGATCTCAAGGTATTTTCGGCATTTGGTTGTTATGGAATGACAGTGTTGACTGCTTTGCCAGTACAAAATACTACGGGAGTAAAGAAGTGTTATGAATTACCATTGGAATCAATTAAAGATCAATTAGAAGCAATTTTTGAAGATACAATGCCAGATGTTGTTAAAGTAGGGATGCTATTTAATTCTAAAATTGTGGAGTTAGTTGCAGAATTTCTCTTGAAATATGCTGTTAAAATACCAATTATAGTTGACCCAGTAATGGTGGCAAAAAGTGGTAATCTTCTTCTTCTTCCGGAGGCGATTGAAACTATTAAGAAAAAAATTATTCCAATAAGTACAATAGTTACTCCAAATTTACCAGAAGGTAAGGCACTAACAGGAATAGGAGCTAGTACCAAAGAAGAGATGTTTACTGTTGCAAGAGCACTTTTAGAACTTGGTTCAAGATCTATTTTACTAAAAGGTGGACACTTAGAAAGCAGCAGCGAGTCATGTGACTTACTTGTTACAGTTGATAATAATCATGAATGGCTCAGTCATCATAGAATTATAACTAAAAATACTCATGGAACGGGGTGTACATTGTCTGCTGCAATTGCTTCTTGCTTAGCTCTTGGCTTGGATATTTTTGATAGCTGTAGAATAGCAAAAAGGTATTTAAGCAGAGCTCTAAAAACCGCTCAACATCAACATGTTGGCAAGGGGATTGGGCCAGTTCATCACTTTTATCATTTATGGCCAACGCTTAGTAAAATTAAGGAAGAATAAAAATGGTAAAACTATCAGAAACAGGATAAAAAAATCAAAACAACATTACATCTTTATCGAGATGTTATTAGTTATCCATTCAGTTAAGAGCTGATGAATGGAACGCTGTCAAAGGAAAAAGTTTTGTTATTATGTAGAACGAGACTCTTTTACTTAAAATTATACAAATATATTTGCCATGATTGTAGCACGATCACAAAGTATGGAATATATAAAACAGTTCTTGGGTTCTTCGCTAAGCATAGTCGCTGAGCAGCAAGCTTTACATCCATTACTGCAAAGGAAATTTGGATCCAAAGAAACTGGTAACCTTACGCCAGCAGCTTTATCTTACATAAGTTACTTGCGATTAGAATCCTTGATCATATTTAGATAGTCTCATTGTATATAGTAGAATCTGATTTAAATTCAACTGTATATTTATAGAATGCTAAAGATTAAATAAAGTCGTGCGTTTCTCCGGGAGGATTATTCGGATCTGGTGGATAAGCGCCTGTGTATCATCTTGTTGGTTTATTGTACGGGCTCTTCTTGAATTACTAGCAGAAGGTTAGTTTTCCCCGCTATCAACTAGTGTTTTTGTACTTGCTCTTCCCGTGGGATTAGGGTTTGCAGTCTAGATTGCTTGACCCCTTGGTATAAAAAATTTCTTCAATCTTATTTACTTCTTTGCTGATGTTTTATAAACATATTTCTAGATTTTATTGTAAGTCACCTTTTATTTTTTAACCTTATTATTTAGGGTGTCAAGATTTGTTTGTAGTGTATTTTTACATTAAACACGGTGTTGTCACCGTAACTCCTTTTAAGGATAAAAGAATAAATATTATATAGGAAAAAGTAAAAAAAACGATGTACGGAACGATCAAATTTTGAGATA